AGAGAGAGAGAGAGAGAGAGAGAGAGAGAGAGAGAGAGAGAGAGGGAGGGAAGCAAAGTGCAATACACACGTCAGGCCAGGCTGGGAGATACTCAGGCTCAGAGATCGATAACATCGGCCACGGAAATATACCGACTTAATAATGCAGTCGATAACTACGCCTGGCGAACTTGGGGCAAGGCACGCGCGGAGCCTTCCTCCTTTGCCCAACGATCCCGGCGCGCTTTGTCCTACGGCGGTGCACGTTGATTCAACTTGGCGATCGTATCGCGCGACACAGGCGACAGAGACTCGATAATACATTTCCTCGAAGCTCTCTCCTCGTAGCCTACGAAAAAAAAGTGCGCGTCGTGATTACTGCCACGCTGAGTAAAGAGCGATCATAATTTATCTGTCGGACTATAGCACGTACAATAAGAGCCTTCCCTCCCATCGTTCACTCTCCGTTTTTCTATTTCTTTATCACTTATCTCCTCGTGCACCCTACCTTTTCATTCTCGATTTCTGTTTTTGACTTTCGCCCGTCCATGCGTAGGGTAAGAAAGTTCGCTTAGCAATCAGTCACACGATTTGTCGGCGTTTGCTCGCGTCGCGGATGCTTTGCGCGATTGTGAAGTTCGACTTGGATGGCCGGAGGCAAGATATCGACGTAAGTCGGTAATCAAATAACGAAAAAACTCCCAATGATGGCAGAGAGAGAGAGAGAGAGAGAGAGAGTGTGTGTGTGTTCTGTGGATATCGATCTCATCTTCTGTCCGTCTCTCATTTTCTATTTTCACATGCCTGGGAACCCAATAATAGGAGTTGTACCGATAATTTCGCCCCCTCCGATTACTCGATATGGATCTTTTAGTAGCGAGCCTTTGATAGGATGATTGGACGACCTCATTTGTCGCTCTCTCGACATTTTCCCTCGTTCCATCCCTTTTCCTGCTCTTTCCTCCCTCTCTCTCTCTCTCTCTCTCTCTCTCTCTCGTCTCTCTTTCCTCCTTCTCTCTTTATACTCTTTCTAGTTGTACTTCGATTCAATCTCTCGCCTCTCTCCCTATTTTCATTTTCCTTTTTCGCTCGCATCCACTCTCTTGACTCTCACCTCGCGAAAATTTACACGAGCTGCGCCCGCGGATAATTAACAGAAAATTAATAAGCCACTGTGAGTCATGAGAACCGATGTATTCGCGAATCGCAAAGTGAAACTTTCTCTGCCAAATATATTCATTAAAAAAAAAAAAATTTCCTATAAACGATTAAGAGACAAGGAAGACGACTATCACAATGCAATCGAAATCTTCCTCAATTTTTCGATTACAATTTAGTAAGTTATGATAAATTCTTTTTTAATAATATGAATTTATATTTTGGCATACGCGTGAAATAGTGTATTAACCTATTCAAATATCAATAAGAGATGGTATTGATATAAAAGATGACGGTGTAGAAGTGATATATTTTAACTAAAACTCGCTTTGTGTAAAGATATTCTCTACGCGTAAAGGAACAAAATATTGTTGACCGAAACCCCCGTGACAGTCGAAGCGTGACGGGGCAAAATTTTGCTAGTGTTGATGAAAAAAAATTTTTTTCGAGAGAAGGACAACGTAGCGCAAGAGGATAGAAATGCAATCTGCGCGCGCGCGCGGGTATAGTCGAGGGGTGGAAAGCAAACGGCGAACCGTGGAAACAGGAGGAAAACAAAGAGTAATCGAGAAGCGTGCCCCAGGGATGTGGGTTACGTTTAATTTGTTGCAGCGCGAAAAAACGCGGCGGAGAAAAAACATAGATAATTGGAAAGTCTTCTCGTTCGCGGGCAGGTCGGAGATGCGCAACGACCTCGGGCCCGTTTTCGATAAGGTTTTTTTCGTTCTATTCCACGGCTTTTTTTTTTGTCCCTCATCCATACCATCGAATTTTCTTTCTCTTTTTTTCCCGCGCTCGCTCGATCATTACATTCGCGTATCGGAAATCAAATTAATTTTCTGACGGCCCGGGGATTCGGAGCTTTCCGCTTATACCTCCGACTGTTTTTGACGATACGGAGCGGCCTCTGCCTATTCTTGCCGTAGAAAATGTAGGAGAACGACGCTATTCATCGAGAGGGGGGGTTCATTTTCGAAACTACATTCCAAAGAATTAATTCTCCGACGACGATGCACTGCACATCTATCGCGACAAAAATATGAAACTCCTGCGAGTGCAATCGGACGGAAGATGATTATCAATTCGAGGAATGCGGATCAAGATTTGTATAGTAATTGGAGCGTGTCAGATTTTGCGAGATTATTTTCGTCGCGATCGAAGAGACACTTTATGCAATGACCTAAAATTTTTCCTCGTTTTTCAGGTTTTTATACCTGATAATAAATAAAGGATAAGTTTCGCAGTATGTAAATTAGAGCGACAAACAAACATGTTATGAAAGATGAAGCGAAGAGAAAATAATGTATCGCGAGAAAAAGTTGAGTCGATCCCGTCTCTCTGCTACGTACTTTTCAGTATAAAATGTCATTTTCCGAAAACACACTTTCAAATCTGCAGAATAAAAAGATAAATCGTGAGTAGAGGAAGATCAAATGGCAAATAGAGATGAAGATATAAAATTTTCGTAAATCCACAATGCGCGATTTCAATTCACAAATGTTCTACGTCTTTTAATAAGATAATATTTGTAAATTAAATTCATACAATTTAAATGCGCTAAAGATCTACTCCCTAAAATCGAATCAGTGTATTATTGTTGAAAAACAGTGAATGAGTTCGCCTACGATCACATCAGTCGTAAGGATATGTCATAGCACTGAAGTCATTGAATCACTTTTGTAAAATACAAATAAATCAAGTACAAGCATATGTATATGAAATCCCTGGAAACGTGATATGATTGGCGGTATCACGAGGAGAGATGGGAAAGATATCGTAATGACATAGAAAGGCGATGATCCGTAAGACGGGGCGGACAAAAGAGTGAAGGGAACGACGAGTGGGAGGAGCGGCTGGTCGA